CAGCCACAAACACACACACACTCACATATACTGCTAAGGCAACATGAACAGGAAATCCCCTGCACTCCTGGACCCAGAGTAATGCAAAAAAAACTCATCATATGAGATGTGTGTCATACTAGTATGACTGGTCCGTTTTCCCCCTCCTCTCCTTCCTGCTGCTCTCGCCATGGACGCTTTGGCAAGACTAATCAGGTTTAAGAGAGCATTTCTGGCACAAAGAAACAGGCCACTCGATCATCCTTAATTAGTAGATAAGGGGGAAAAAAAGGGATGGCCCTGAGCAAAAGAATGCTGGGTAGTTTCCCCCCTCCCCCCAATATCTAAGGAGTGGAGCTGACAAAAGCTGCTCTTCTTCAAAAGCTCTCAGCAGGGCTGTTTAACCCTTGAGGGAATAAGCCTCGGCTGCTAAGGAAGCCTCTTTCAGAAAAGAGGGAGAATCCTCAACCCAGAACTGGCAATTTAAGTTAACGCAAAGCGTTCTCGAAAATAAACGCAGCGTTATTCTCGAACTAGCACCAAAAGTTGAAAAGAAAAAAAAAAAAAAGTGCACGCAGCAGATAGTGGTTGCTTTCCACCCAGATCAGGATTTGAAAGGCCTGACGGGTTTTTCTAAGTCTTTCCCCGTTTTCTCGGAATCGACTTCATTCCCCACCCACCCCTACACCCCAAGTTCTCAGCCTCTTCCAGGAACAGCGACGTTCGCGCCGGCGTGACCAGTTCCTCTTTCGGCGCTCAGCCATCGCGCCCCAGTTCCAGGGAGCGCCCTCCGCGCGGCCAGCCGTCGCTCGGCCTTTTGTCTCGCCTTCTTCCCGAGTCACCAGAGCGTCTCTCGCCTAAACTCGCAGGGGGAGGGAGGGCTGGGGGGCGGAAAGGCCTCACTCGGGCTCCCCGCGCCACCATTAGCCTCCCGCCGTCCTAACCGCCAAAGTCCCGCCACCGAGGAGACAGGCGGTACTGAGCTCCTCTGCCCAGAGAGGGGCTTCCGCAGGCTCCGCTTCTCCGCCGGGAGAAGTTTTCAGCTACGAGTCCCCGGCGGGGGCGCTTTAAAAGGCTACCACGGCCCTCACCATTATGCTCAGCACGCCGTCGCCTTGTCTGCAGTTCGCTTTGGGCTCCTCGGCGCCTTTGGCCGGCGGAGGCTGGAGGATCAAGCTCGAGAACCGGTCCTGCAGGATTCGGGCTAAACTCGGAAAGGGCCCTTCTTGTCTCTGGGGCTGCCGCTCGCCTTCCTCCTCCGCCAACTTCGCCTTCTTGCTAGGCACCAGGCCGGCTTCGGCGGCGCCAATCTTGCCGAGGCTGCTGCTGCGGCGCTTGCGGCTCGGCTTCCTGCTGACGAGCAGAGGCCCCGAAGCGCCCCGGCTCCAAGCCGTCTGGGTCAAGGAATGCGCGGGCAAGCTGCTGCCGGGCTCCTCCTGGGTTTCCATAGGTTCCGGATCCAGGCTGCCGCAGGGCTGTGGCGTGGGTGGAGGCGCCTCCTGTTGGGCCGAGGGAAAGAGGATTGCCGGAGGACCCTCCAGATGCTGCGGGCTGGGCGCCGTCCCTTGTAGGTCTACATGCGGCTGCCGGCCAGGAAAATTTTCCACGCTTCCTCCGCCCATCTCGTCCTCTTCCTCCAGCTTGGCGGAGAGGTAGAGGTCGCGGGCGTTCCTCATCACGAGGGAGAGCTGCAGGCTGCGGTGGAGTCGGAGGCCGCCGCGCTGCATGCGCGAGTGATACATCTTCCACACCGACATCGTCATAATACGCTGCGCTTCTTTCTGCACCTCCATGTTGGCGGGCGCTCTCCGGGCTTCCCTTTGGACCCTTCTGAAGCTCTTCGGTGTCGGAAGAGAAACGCCTGGGCTTTCTCCCCCCTCCTCCAAAAGGGAAAGTGGCGCGCCTCCGGCTGTTTCTTCCCAGCAGACACCTCCCGGACAAAGCGCCACGGAGACGTCCGTTCCGACTAAGCGGAGCCGCGCCCAGCGCGTTGCATTTTATACTCCCGGTGATCTCAGCGCCTGGGCCGCCTCCGCCCACTCTGCGAGCCGCATCCGGCCTTGTAACTGCGCGCCACTGGCCGCCCTTCCTGAAAGGGGGAAGGGCAGGCGGAAATGTCAGGGCGGGAGAAGAAAATGAACAAATGGGGGTGTCGCCAGGAGACGAGGATAGCGGACGGCGGGCTTCCTTCTGCTAAGCAAAGAACTGGAAGTTGGGCTCCCCGCTGAAGTGGCGTATAGCAGAGCTCAGAAAAAATGAACAGCTGGTTGTGTAAGCGGAGCGGGCAAGCAGTGGCTAGCTGCCGATTACTTAGCTTCAGAATAAATTTGTTCGTTTACTTGGGAATGGAGTACCCTTTATGAATTCTGAATGAGATGTGGTGGAGTGCAAGATTTACTCTGGGAAAACAGGGCGGTTTTCAGACATCTGCAAGGTGAACTATTTGAGAAGTTGTAGTTCACTGCCTGAAGGCCACGTGCTCCCACTCGTTGTTCAAGATTGTTCAAGATTATTTTGCTCTTCTGGACATTAATATTTAAAAATTGAGTGTTTCTGTTTGCAGTCTAGCATCTTTCAGGCTTCAAACTGTTTCAAAGGTTTCAAAAAAGATTTGAAATAAGAGTAAGATGTTGCCCTTGAGGTTATCGATGTGGTTTTTTTGCTCTAGATGCCCAGTCAGGGGAAAAAAACAGGATTTGGGGCTCCTTCGCTTCCCCCAAAGCAGCACTTGAAAGAAATGGGTTCCTTTTTCCTGAGTTGCATGCTGATTCCAGTTGCTTCTCCCTACAGCTGCTCCGGTCACCCAGAGTTTTGAAATCCTGTTGTCATCAACCAAACCTACACAACAAACCTGATTTGGGAGTAAATTCCCTTGCAGGGTTATTCAGTCTGGCAGTTCTGGTCAAAGTGGCGCAGCATTCTGTAATTTCCAGAGCAGCCAAAGGGAGACCTTCAACGGGGCTTCGCCTCTATTTGCATACTTATATTCTCTCCCATTCACCTGCGTTTATGGCTGCCTGCTTCTTAACTGCTGTGTTTTACTACAAGGGGTGGTGGTGGTTTGGAGAGAATATTCCCATATTCACGCAAATCTTTTTTACTGGTCGGGAAAACACATTTGTCTTTTAACCAGCCTCCCCCAATCAGCACAACGGAAGGCACCCTCGCCCCTAGCTCCCTATTCATGCTACAGTAATCCCAGAGCTGGGCTCCTCCCTCTATTTAGGTTACCCTTCCCTCTCGCCTCCATGGTTATTGCATGTATTATTGGAGCCTGACGACAAGGCAGGGGGAGGAGCCGAGGCTACGTTCCCCAGCGTTTCCAAAGCGCTTACGTTTGTAGCAGCAGCCGCAGCAGCAGCCCTGCTTCCTATGTCCATAAATGGGTAACGCGGCGAAAGTCTCCACTGAGCTTCCGGGCCTTCACCGAGGGAGCCATCTGCCTTGTCAGCCAATCCGTCTACGTATAACGGGCCTCGGGGGTAATAGAATACTTTATGCTTAGGTGGCGTATATCCTCCTGAATTCTGCCACTTTCAGACTACATTTTATATCTCGCGTCGCATAATCTCCGTTTATAAGCAGTTTCTCTATGTAAATGCCAAGTATGGATATCGTACCAAACCTAAACCGTTTTTTCCTCTCTTTTAGTCTTCCAAATTACTGCCGCCTTTCCAATACTGTAATTTCATCTGATCATATACTCGGGTGTGGCTGTGTAAATCCTTATCACAAAACTCGCACGCGGTCTAAATTTATTACTTTCCTGTTTCACCGAGGCTCAAGGTACACCAGGAAGTTATTTTACACCGAAACGTATATGCTACACTTTGCATGCAAGTCACATTTTGGTCTTGATCCAGAAACGGCAGGTCAAATAAAAATTTGGCTGACGTAACCCCGTTGCAAGCTTTTTAAGTTTATTAAACTTATACACCGCCCATATTGCTACTAGAGCGACTCTGGACGGCTTCCAAAATGATAAAAAGCACGAAAAATTGGATGAAGATAAAGCGATCGTGGACGCAGACGTCCCTGTACGAAATTATTATGGCCGGATGGACTACTCCGGAGTTTTCAGACGTGTAAATTGGATTTTATTAACTACCCAGGAATGTTTATCTTGGGATCATGGCTTGCCCAAAATGGCTGGGGGGAAATGAGCAGGAAAATGTTTACAAATTTTCAGCGTCTGAAAATGTAAACATCAATGAAGGTCATATAAAACAAATCTGGAACAAATCATTAGACAACCGAACAGACTTGGGCTTAAGGAGCTTTTTGGCACCTATGTAAGAAATAATTAGTTTCTGGTTTTAGCCAGACCGGTTTCTCGTCTGGCAAGGCTCTGCCTGTGCCTCCTTATTGCGTCATCTCCAAATTCGGCCCACGAAGTCTTTCTACTCTTCCCCTCCCTCTTGGGTCCCTTCCAGGACACGAGCTTTCGCCATGCCAATTATTTATTTAGGGTAGACGGTGGTAACGTTTAAAAATACGAAGCCCCGTGTCTTCTACGCTCCTTTATCCTGTAGTTAAAATACGGTCTCGTTTTCTTCTTTGCGCATAATGACCAATATCGAGATTCTCTCAAAAGGTTACAGTGAAATTTAAGAACTAAAACTACGCAGTCGACTCTGAAGCAGCTTCAGTGATTTTGCCGGGCGACTCAGGGCTATCCGAAAAGCCTTGCGAATTGGGGTGGAAAACCTGAAAAAGTGAAGCTCTCAAACGAGAGGCGGCTAAAAGAAATCAATTTGTGTAAGCAAAGCCGCGAAGACTCAGGCCAAGCCTTCCTTCTTTAGGAAATGTGGGAGTGGAAAGAAAGGAAAGCAGAAACACCCCTCCCCCTCAACAACAACAAAAAAAAAGACTGCACGGAAGCTAGGAAATTCCAGGGGAGATTTCTTCTTCTTTTTTTTTTTTCTTCAACCCGCCTACTCACCTCTCTTCCCTATTTTGGCTCCTCCCTAGAAAAGGCGGGTCCCCTTTCCGTATTAAAAGAAAAAAGAAAAGAAAGAAAAGCCCAAGGGAAATACAGGGTTGTGAAAGAGGGACCCGTAATAAACATGGCTGCCTTGGTGGCTTCAGTTCAGTGAGGGGAGGTGGGGGGAGACAAGGAAACATTTCCTCCATAGATGTCTGTGCTTTCAAACCCCATACACGTTTCTATCGGTCGTCTGGACTTGAAGGCGACTTGAAGGCTCAAGGATGTCTCTGGAGGACCCGTTCTTCGTGGTGAAAGGGTGAGTGGCAGTCCCCGGTGGGGGAGATACTTTGAAACAAACAAGCCTTCCCTCTGGAAAAAAAAAAAAAAAGCCACGAAAAGAGCCGGTTGAAACCACGCGGGGGTGTGGAGAGTGTGAAAAGATCGGGTAATCCGAGAATCTAAAGGCAGAAAGCCAGTTGAGAAATTTCCCCACCTCTGATGGGAAATCCCGTTCAAATAGTTAAAACAACCCTTTCTAAGGACCTTCCCCATAAATCAAAGGGGACTGCTGTCTACGGGGCTGTAGGCTTGAAAAAGAAACCCAACTTTGAGAAATAACGGCCCTCGCGGGCTGTTCCGAAATGCTACCGATTTAGGAAGTGGAAGGAAACAAAAATGTTGGTGGACGAAGTCTGAGCACCCTTTCTCTAATGCAGAAACGCGTCCTGAGGCAGAGATCGGTCGAGTGTGAATTTTTTGCACAGTACGAAATAGGCAACAAGGAGAGTTACTTTGTATAAATCGGAGAAATTTCGTTATTTTGTTCCTCGCTATTTCAGATCGTAGCAGCTCTTTGGAGTTAGTTATGCTGCAGATATGCTTAGATCTGTATTTTAATGTATTAATAGAGCCGTCTGAACGCACGTGGTCAGAATGAAGCTATGTATACTCTGTTCGTTTTGTGTCAGGGATCTGCCAAAGGCTAAAATTGGCTGTGGAGTGCCGTGATGCAGGAATGCTATTTAGTTCTGTTTGCTCTCACACACAAATGGGATGGGGAAGAACCCCGTAGTCGTTTATTGCCCTCCCTTTAGATCTAGGTATGGCTCAGTATATCTCTCCATTTATGTCATTCAGCTGGATCTTTTTCGTTTGTGATCATGTTTTCTTAGGGGAGAATGGTTTCATGGACCTCCAGGCAAAGAAACAGCACCTTCTTCTAGTGCAACTGCCTTGATCTCTTACAAGTATCAGTTGACCCAAATAAATTGGATGCTGACATACACTGCTGTTTCTTTGACGTTCTCATGTACGTTTTCTGCCCTAAGAAATTTGCTTATGCTGAATGGCTGCCTTGCTTCGGAGCTGTAGCGGTTATCTCAAAGGAATAAAATCGGTCTTGGTTGACTTGCCATCAGACCGATAAGAACTGCATTAGTGATTCATTTTTGCCTGCATAAGACCTGTCAATCAAGTCTAAGAGTTCATTTTCTAGACTTGTCACCAGCAGGGCAAAACCAAAGGCATTGTAACATACCCTGTCAGGTCACCTTAGGAGGGGTGCTGCAAACAGCGCCTTCTCCTGGTCCCAGGTGCCTTGTGTTGCTTCCTCCATCCCTTACAGCTGCTATCTTTCCTTTGACTCTGCAGAGAAGTTCAGAAAGCAGTGAATACAGCCCAGGGGCTTTATCAACGTTGGGGCCAGCTGCTCCAGGAGACCCAAATTGTGAACAAGGAGGAGCTGAACTGGACTACAAATGAATTACGCAACACCTTGCGCAGCATTGAGTGGGACTTGGAGGATTTGGAAGAAACCATTTATATCCTTTTGAGGATGAGGCTGAAATTAGGTTGAGAGACCACTCTCAATGGTGCTATTATACCCTTAAAAAAGTTAAAAAAAAAACAACCTTCCTGCATGCTTGTAAGACAGCCCTAGCAGCATTTTGCTCCTACACTGCTGCTGTAAATCTGTTTCCTCAACCTGGCAGGTGAACAAGCAAGAGAGGCTGAATTTCTGGTGACTGAATATCAGAATAAGACCCAGGTATTGGAATCCAGCCCAGTCTAGTTTTTAAACTTACAAACTCCAAATCCTTTGCACTTAACCATGATCACGCATTGTGGAATCAAACCCACAGAAGTTTACCATTGCGCCGTCTGAGGTTGCAGCACGACGTTCTTTTGTCACAGAGATGCGGGAGTCAGTCAAGGTGAGGCTTCCTGAAGCATAAACCCCGATTGTGCATCAGGAGATGGCAGGATGGTGATGAATAAAAATCTTGTAACTGTTGCTGTTGAAAAGCCACTTTGGATGTAAATTCTTAGTTTTTGATCAATTCTGAGCAAATCTTACAAAATTCCTTTTCTATCAAATGGAAAAATGGAAAAGTCCACCATTTTTAGATATTATCATGACCCCTGGCAGCCTTTTGCTTCTTTATAGATTTGGTAAGGTCAAAATTACGGTATGTATCTTGTCATTGCATATGTGATGCAAGATGCGTTACAATATCAATGTAAATATGTGAGTTTATGTCACACGTGCAATGGCCTCATTGCATATGTCATTGTTTTCCACCACTGCCCCTTTCCCCCTCTATAGATAACCATGAATTTATAGTATATCACTTTGGCTTTTATTTCTGCATATTCAGATGACTCCCATTGTATTGGGATCTCTCTTCCATTTATATTCGTGTCCTACACATAGTCCTTGATTTACAACTTGGGAACAGATTGATGTTCTGACAGACCTACCTGGTGGATATTTATGTCCTGGATTTGAAGTTTGGAACCCCCTCACAATCACATGATTGCACTTTTGCTGCTTGGCAACCAGACCACATTTGAAGCCGTTTGCCACTTCCTGTACACATGTGATCACATGTTGACAAAAAAATTTTGCCGAAAACTGGCAATTATTTCCAGTGTTCGGCATAACCGCATCTATAGCAAATATTTACTTAACTGTGGTAATTTCCTTAACAACTGCTGCAAAAAGGATTGTAAAATTAGGTCATCCATGTGACTGACTCATTTTACAACCATCATGAGTTACAATGGGCAGGTTCCATTACAATAATAACTTGAGGACTACCTTTGGTTAAATACCCTGTTTCCCCCAAAATATAACTTATCCTGAAAGTAAGTCCTTGCTTGATTTTTTTACCCGTGTGCCCAATATAAGCCCTACCCCAAAAATAAGCCCTAATTAAGATCCTGCCCACTCCAAAGTGCACAGGTAAACATTAAGCTAGGATGGGGATGAGGTGGTGGTAGAGCTGCTCTATTACTTACCTTTGGACAGTTGTAGCCAGGCCTCGCACACCCTTACACCTGCCTTGCTGGACCATTTTTTCTGCAACTGGGAAGTCCGCCAAGGCTTTCCTGAAGGCCTCTGTAGCTGATAACAAAGCTCCAAATCAATCCAGAGCTCTTGTTATCTGCTGTAGAGGCCTTCAGGAAAGCCTTTCCAGCTGCAGAAGAAGTTCCTGAAGGCCTCTGACAGTGAAAAGGAGGCCGGGAGTGATGTGCACAAATGAGGTTAGTCAGTGGGTGACATCCCCCCAAAATCAGATCTGGTGCCTTTTTTAGTGGCAAAAAAAAATATGACAGGGTCTTATTTTTGGGTAAACATGGTAGGGATATATGTACCTGGAGCTCTATGGAAGGAAAAAAACATCAGTCTTTCTACTAATACACTCTCAGTGACACTGTTTTTATTGCTCTTTTGTTTTCTGTAGGAAATGCAGGATCACATGTCTGACCCAGTGGCCCAGTCCTTTGTGGAGAGGAACAATAGAGAGGTAGAGTCTTTCTGCTCCCTCCACTTTAACATGTTGCTTGGAATTACTTTAGGAAAAAGGCATAATATGACAGAGGCTATTGGATCCTCTTTGCTTGCCCAACCTCTTGCCAGAAGGGATTTTCTAACTCAAAGATCTCCAGGCAGGTTTTTGCTTGGCTAAATTCTCTGGTTTCTTCTTCACTCTTTCCCTGCAGCATAACTTATGCATTCTTTCTCTAGAAACATGGTGCTGTTTAATCAGGGCTTTGACCTATCGCATTAGTTTCCCATATTTTGAAGCTACTGTGAAAACAATTTGTTTCTAAAAAGACTCAAAAGTCATAAGTGAAGTATCCCGCAATGGTTTTGGGTGTGTGAAGCCTTGGGGACCTGAGGTTTTGTCATCCCTGATTCTGGATGAGGTTGCACTTTCCTCTTCAGACCCAGTTCTTAACTCGGGAGTCCTCCCGGACTCATGACTCCTGCTCAAAGAGCAGGTGGTGGGTATGACTGGGAGAGCTTTTACACGACTCCAGTTTGTGCACCACCTGCAACCTTTCCTGTATCTGGACTCCCTGTGTTCAATTATTCAAGCCCTGATCATCTCCTCAGCATTATTGCGATGTGCTCCACATGGGGCTATCCATTGGGAAGCTTCAGCTGGTGCAAAGTGGGGCATCGAGAGAAGTCTTTGGAGCCCCTGGGGTGGCTCGTATTCCATCTCTGCTCCACGAACTGCACTGGCTACTGGTCTGCTTCCAAGCCAAGGGGTTGACTATGACCTTTAAAGCCCTTAATGGCACAGGTCCAGGCTAGATGAACTGTCTCATCCCACTAAGATTAGTCTACTTGGGCTGGCATAGAAGGCCTTCTGTGGATTCTATCAGTCAAAGTACGCCTGCTGTCAGAGACCAGAAGAAGAGCCTTCTCTGCTACCATAAGCTGCCCTTTGGAACATCCTGCCCCACCAGGGAAGATCTGCCCCCAACATCCTAGACCTGGTTCTGCAAATTGGCTTGGGGACCCAATGGAAGAGTTCTACTCTGGAGGTGGCTGCTAGATTGATAGCAGATGCTGCCTCCTTCCCCCAGCTCCCCACTCATCCATCTTTTTTAACTAATCGGATCCATGTATTTTCTTTGCTTTCTTTTTCTTTGTTTATTGTTCTATTATTTTACTTTTACTTTGTTGAAACTTCCTTTTTATTTGTTCGTTTCTTTATTGTGAGCTGCCTAGAGTAGCCACATGGCAAGATAAATGGCAAATAAACTTATCAATAATACAACAATTGAAAAGGAAGCCCTGATCTATGCATGGTTAATATATTGATTATAATATAATTGAAGGCTTATATTGTGAGACCAGCAAAACAGTCTTGAAAGGCTATTAATAACTACATTAAATAATTGTTAAAAGCCAAGAATTTTAATACATGCAGCTTATTTTTAATTCAGGACATGTTCTTTTCTACAGAAGTAAAAGCTGCTAAGTTAATTCTCCATTCTAATTCACCATTGCCACTTAGATATTGCGTGATTTTCCTTGAAGCAGTTAGAACTTTGTCTTGCTCAGAGTTTCTCTTTTCTTTTCTCCTCTTTCTCTGTGGAAGTTGTTGGATGGCGGGAACCACTGTGGGCTGTTGAGTGCAGAGAAGGTGCCAGCAGCTGATTCACATATTTTGGAAGAGCAGCAGTTGCACCAGAAGGTGAGAAGATGAACACCATCCCAATCAAGCTAGTGATTTTCACAAATCAGCTCCGTTTCTACAGAGACTAAAGGGGACTTCTACTTTTTACACTTGTAGGGGATAAAAATATAGCACAGATGTATAGAGGTATGAACTCTAACAGTAGCAATGCTTGTAAGCCCTCAACATTCCATGTGATCCTGCTTGATTGCATCTCTTGACATTATTTTTCTCTTCCTGTCAAACAACAAATAGCAAAGTTCCTTGAATGGAAGTAATGATAATTGAAATCTTTTTTTTTTAATTGGAGTTCTGGGTTCCAAATTTGGTTTATGAGCATGTTCAGAATATCAGTTCCCCATCAGTAGAACAGGAAGTAGTAACGGTGAGCATAATAAAAGTGAAGCGAGATATGGATGTACATTTGTTGTTTTGACATTTGCCCCATCAATGTAAAAAAAAGAAAATGATGTTTCGGTACCAGAATTGGCTGCTTGCCTGCTTTCCTTATTTTTCTTCCAAACTGCTGCTTTAACTTATTGAACAAATAGCAAGAGTCCCAGTCTAGTGATTGAACCAAGAAAGGCTTGTATATGTACCTATTGTTTCAATCACCATTTGATAAAGAGATGCAAAGGATGTAAGAAATGCTATGGTTTAAATCGTTGGATGAAATACTATTGTAAACGTTAATTTCTTTCCTTTTTTTCTGACTTCTTTTTATAAAAGATTTTTGCATAAAAGAATGCAAAAATTCTTGGATGCATCACACAGTTGCATTTTTGACAGGAGAGCTCTTTATTTGAGACTTCTGTAGATCTCTTGTGTCCTGTGGATGTTGCTGTTGTCATTTTTTTCCCTGCAAAAAATGCTCTGATGCCTTCTTTTCTCCATGACAGTTGATCATTGAGGAACAGGATGAACAGTTGGAGCTGGTCTCTGGCAGCATTTCTGTGCTGAGGCACATGTCGGGGCGGGTTGGAGAGGAACTTGATGAACAAACTATGTGAGTCCAGGTAGCAAAGGTGGGATGATGGAATTGATTGGCTTTGCTTGGATCTATCTTTCATGTGACATTGTCTAGCAGTGCTGGAACATTTGAAACAATTTATTCAGAACTATAGAAAGTCCATGTCTTGGTGAGTATAGATGGCAATAGATGAGTCCTGGGTACATAATCTTAAGCAGATCACAGATCAGATTAATGATTTCCAATTTAGAATTAAGAATTATTTTCAGTTCAACAATAGCTGAAGGTCCAACAATATGCAATCCTGGCAAATCCCATAATATAAGCAAGACTAAAGCAAAAAACTGCTATCTTCTATCACCAGCACAACATTCTGCTGGTGTTCTTCAACTTAAAGTGAGGCATCTTATGTCATACACAAAAATTAGCAGATCAACCATGATTGATATTCATACCAGCAGTAAGGGAGTTAAAAATAATTCTCATCTCTTATTCTTATTGGAGATATTGGAGACAAGTCAGTTTGGGGCCCTACTTCCCTAATGCAGAATATGTATTTTGGGGTACAGTTCCATCTCTTAGATCCCAAATTGTGTTAGTAATAAAAAATATTTTGAAAATTCCCAGCAACAGAGCGAATTATTGTTTTAGCTGTTAACTTCATGCCTTGTGACCAAGTGGGAGGGGAACAAGGTTCTCAAGCTTGAAATATGGGGTTGCTGCTTTAGAAACTACTGCCATGTGATGATGCATTTGCTGACTTTCTAGAATGCTAGAAGACTTTGCTCACGAGATGGACAACACTCAGAACGGCATAGATGGGGTGCTCAAAAAGATGGGCAGAGTCCCCCACATGGCTCGTGGTAAGAGGCAGGGCTTTATGGTTTTTCTTGACCTGTCCATTTGCATAGAATAAAAGAGCTTCCACCTCATCCCAACTCACTGGGCTTTCTTTCCCATTGTAGAAATGTTTAAGGAGCTGCTGAATCTCACCCCGTCTGGCATTACTAGATTCCCAATTTTCCTATTGTTTTCCTTTTCTATTGGAAATAGACAATTTGTTGCATTCCAGATGTTTTGGATAATTAATTCCAGTCAGTGTGAACAAGGACCAGTGAATGTGTTACTCTCTGGACTGCAGATTGTCCTAGACCTGGTTTGTTTAGTTTGAGCGGGCGTAGGCATTAAAAGTCTACAGAGATACTGGCCTTCATAAATTCACAGCTCTTTAAGTACACTGACAAACATTGATTGATTGATTTGGTTTATATCCTATGTTTTGATAAGGAATTCAAGGTAATGCGGAGAGTGTTCTTCCAATAATTCCATGAATAGGTTGGGCTGTGACCATTCCAAGGTCAGATTTCCTTCCCCCCCCCTCTTGATTCATCAATTGAGCCAGTGATCAGAACCTGGAATGACCATTTATTTTGAGATCGTATTTTTTTTTTTTATCATGGGTAGAGGCCTCTTGTCAAAGGAACAGCTGTAAGAAAAACGGATCACTATTTGGAAGGAGAGATAAGGGACTAGGAGAGCATAACTGCATAAAACTGTTCCTCTAAGGCCAGTATTGAATTTTGATTTGTGCTGAACATTCCCTTATTCTCAGTTCAAATCCAGAATCAAGTCATAGATAGCTTTTACTTTTATTTTGCACAAATTGGGATTAAATTAATCATAGCATTTAGGGCATGCTGTAAGATTATATACACAATATTTGAACTTGCATCCCTCTATATTTACAAAAATGTCTGTCCAGTAATGCCCCTGAGTCTTGCTATCTGTGATACCCAAGTTGTAGGTTAGCTCTCCTATCCCTCACTACATATGTTAATCATGTAACCAAATTATTTTGAATAGGATCATTTCTGGAGATTAATGCCAGGATACTAGTGTTTTCTCCCACCGCCCCTTTCTGTTCAATCATGTTTGATTGTCAGAGACTGGACAAATCCCTGTTTTTCTTGGCAAGGTTTTTCAGAAGTAGTTTGCTATTGTCCCCTTCCTACAACCGAGAGGAAGTGACAGTCCCAAGGTTGATCAAGTGGTTTTACTGAGGGGGAACTGGAACTCAGAGTCTCCTAGTTTCTAACCTGATGCTTTAACCACTACAACCACTATTCTTTGTTTTCTTTACTGCATGCCTAATAACTAAGGACCAGCGTATTGAAAAACTGCTAGTGCCTCAAGATCCTTTCTTTCAATGGGATTGTGTTTAATACTGAATTAGGGTCAAAGAATGTGTAGGTATTTGTATACAAAACCCACTGACATGTGTTTGTAGGGCTCAACATGGAGTGTCCCATGTATTTATACATCCCTTTTAAGACTACTCCCAATCCCCATTTTTGTGCTTAGTTGCAGACATCAGTTCCTTGTGTCCCCCTGGTGGTGGATTATAACTTTCCAATTGGGTTGGCCTTCCTGCACTTAGACCATCTCTCTTTGTTCTTTCTCCATCAGAAAGGCGTCAGTGGTGCATCATCTGCCTATTGGTCATCACTGGTGTAGTGATATTGATCCTTCTTTTTGCTCTGTGGTCAACTTGACAGATGAACATAAGGAAAATGGAAAAGATACCACCAACCTTTCATGTGAAAAGCCTGAAGTCACCATGGCTTATGTCCTATATGGGGTGAGGGCTAGTGAAGACATAGGACAATGACAAGAATGTTGGATTCTCACTGGGCTTCCCTGCCTTGTATTCACACTGTTGTCCCTTAACTATTAGGAGCTACAGGTTTGTGACAAGGGAGGATTTTGCTTGTTGGTACTTATCAACCCATCAAGGTCATCCAGACCAGGAAACCAAAATGATAAATGCTAATACTATTTTTATTGTAAGGTTACATTGATTCTTGCAAGCCTGAAAGCTTTTCCCCTTTCCCACCCGTTCCCTGCTTTCACTTTCCAGAGAACTAGGGAGCGATAATCCTGAAGCCTTCTCAAATTGCACTTCTGTTTTGGGCTCAGATTTCTTTTATCAGACCATTATCTAAACCAGGGGTCGCCAACCTTTTGGACCTCAGGGACCACCAAACTCATAATTTTAGATCCCAGGGACCACTAACTGGTTCTGTGGGCATGGCCTAATTTGTGGGTGTGGCTTGGTGGTCATGTGACTGGCTGAGCATGGCTTGTATGTAAATATTATAAATATTTATATAAATATTGAATTTTTTTATAAAAAAGAGCAACTTTTACCCAAAATCAGGCAAAGCA